TCCAAATCTTCATGTCGTCCGCAAATAAGGCACACGGCAACCGGAGAAGCTGAGGTAGATTGTTGTTGTGAATCAGGAACAGAGTGAGCCCTAGCACAGTGCCTTGAGGCACACCACTTGTAGAAGGATACCAGTCACTTAGATGGTCGTCGATCTGTACCTTCCACTTTCGTCCAACAAGAAAGTCGCGGATCCACCGGTGCAGTGAGCCACTGACATCACACATCCCGAGTTTGTGAAGGAGAACCTCATGACTAACCTTGTCGAACGCTTTACTGAAGCCGATGATTATCATGCCGACAGACTTCCCCTTGCTTATTGCCTTCAATCACTCATGCCTCGTCACAAGCAGGTTCGTAATGCATGAGCGGCCTTGCAAAAAACTGTGCTGTGCGGGCGTCAGAACCTCGTTTGACTTTAGTAACTGCAGCAATCCCTTCTTCACGATTTTCCCAGCGACCTTAGCTAATATAGGTGTCAGACAAATTGTCTTGTAGTTGTCTACATTGCTAGGGTCGCTGCTTTTCGGAATAGGCTTCACCGCCGAACATTTCCAGTAAATCGGCAATGAACCTTCGAACAGCGATCTGTTGAAAAGGTCAGTCACGACAGCAGAGATGATGGTCGAAACTGACTTGAGAACCAGTGTGTGAAGCCCATCAGGTCCGGCAGGTTTGGTGCTTTCAAGGTTGACGAGTAGTTGACATACCTCTTCAACGCCGCAATCCAGACTATCGAGTTCGGTAAGAGCGTTACACGTCGAACTCGGAACAGACACTGGTCATTTGCAAATACAGAAGCGAAGTGCGCCGTCAACGCAGACGTACGCTCAGTGCTGGAGGTTAGGGGCTGTCCATCCGGGCCATCCAGCACTGCCGGCTTCAGGCGTCGCTTCACGTATGCAAAGATTCTCTTTGGGGCGGTCTTCGCGGTTGTTGTGAGCTGCTCTTCGAAATGTCTGCACTTATTCTTTTTTGAACTGTTACAGAGGTTTCGCTGACTTTTATACCCTTCGTAATCATTGGCAGAGCCAGATAGGAGTAGTTTGCCTCACAGTCTGCGCCGCCTCGGAGCCAGATTTCCATACTCCTTGTCGAACCAATAAGGCTTAATCGGTCCAACCTTCCTACCTTGCAGTGGCACAAA